GTTGCGTGGCAAACGCGGCTCCATAACTCCGTTCAGAGAATCGCTCTGCGAATTTCAAATCCAGATTCGAAATCAGCGTCCAAAACCACGTTCTAGCGATCTACATCTCATCACAAATGGCCACTTCGACCTGACGCCCTTCCCTAGTAAGTATCGTTCAACGTTAAGGAAGTTGAACACATGGAAATGAATTCCATAACATTACGGAACAACGTTCCATAGCATTTTATAAGCCTTGCAGTTCTGCAACGAAATAGCCGAACTAGCGCCTACAACTGAATTTTATTTTTTCTAAGTGAATTTTTTTATTTCGCATGTAGATTTCCTATTAAAGGAAGTTCTTTTTCCTTGCATATGTGGACGTAGTTCCATTCGTTCAACTGAAAAAAATAGGCGTCACATTGCTGGTTATTCGATTCGCAGCTTGTGGAATAATGGACTGTACTCTATTCATGAATTGAAAAATCGTCCGAAAATGCGCAGGCTGTGACGCCTACTCTTTCAATATTTCATTTCTGAGTTTATAATATGACAAATGGGGACTTGTTACCCTGTTTATGGGCGCAAGAAAAACTGTGAACTAGGGTCAGCTCTCCCCTGCTTGTTCCCAGCTCTTGAATGATTACTGCCCATGCTGTGGATTTCGCTCAACAAATTTATTCCAGCGGAGTTGTCTGAAGGTATAGAACGAACATTTGCAGGAGATGTAAGAAGATACTTCAAAATGAGCATTGACTAATTTCGAAGAGATTTCAGGGAAGCGCTTTTCCAGCAAGAAGGGATTTTGATCCTGTTAGTCTTCCTTCTAGAGGTTTCCCAAGGCACAGAAACCTTCCCTGCTGAGGGGTCTTCAGACGAACAGTGGTAGATTTAATGAAAGATGGTTTCTTCAGATGAACTTCTCTGAAGTTTTAATCATCAAAGTGAACTCCTAAGTCTCCTGAGCAGATAATGATAAGATATAGCAATAAAAACGATTAAATAGATCATTCTGTAGGTGTCGAAGTTTGCAACGGAAGCGTTTCTTGTTACTAGTGCATGAATAGAGTTTTGTTGAATAAAGTTTAATATTCAGGACAAAGCTCATTTCGTTGAATTTTATTCAAGTTGGTGTGGTGCTTGTATAGCCTACGCTCCAACATTCAAACAGTTCGCCAAGTATGTTAAAAACATTCCTTTCTCTGAACTGATGATCTTTTTCTTCGTTTCCGCCATTAGTTTTCCTTTAGACATGTAGCCTCGTGGAAGCCGTTCGTTCAAGTGACTGTGGTAAACTGCGCTGATGACAAGAATATGCCCCTCTGTCGTGAACATTCTGTGAATGCTTTCCCAACTATGAAGGTGATTTTTGTTTTCACATTTTAAACTAATTCTAACTTGGTCACAAAAATTACTGCTATGATGTGTTGAGAAACTATGGCACAGTATAGCTGGGAGAGTCATAGCGGTCCCGTCTAGCATAATGGAACACACGCGCCCGGTCAGGGGAAGGTGCTCGTCCAAGTCCCGTCTGAAGTCTCACTTTTGCACTCGGCTCATAATTCCTAGATAATTTTTCAAGAGCGAACTGTGGCGTTAAACAGCAGTTATCATATGAAATAAAAATTACTGTTTCTCGAAGGACGAGTAGCATATTTTATCACCAAGCCCAAACTCTTCTGATGGTTCCTTCTGAGCAGGTTCCACAAATAACCGGGGCGTTGAAATGTGTTTCTTGCTTTTATAATTGTTTATTGAGTATTTGAATCTAGATTGGTTTGCGGCTAATCTCTCGATCAGTCCATCCAGCCTCCAGGGTTCTCGCCTTACGCGGCCATTTTTGTGATGCTGTGGTGCCCTTCCGTCAGTGCGAATAAAGAACTTATGGAGGGTTTATAGATTCTTCTATGATGTCCTGTCCTGATGTATTGAGAAGGTGCTCTGTGGCCTCCTACTCTTGTGACTGAACCTTTCAATGCTTTCGAACTGCTCATTATGAAGATTTTTCGGTAGTCTGAATCAGTGGGAAGTTTGCGCGAGTTATGCAGAAGATTCCAGAAGTGTAGCATTTTTTCATATGAATAGTCATTTCTACATTCGCTTTTTCCATATTCTCTGCAACGCCACTTGGCATTTTCAGTTTTTCAAACGAGGTGCAACAAGCAAGAATGACGCCATGTTGTACCAAGGCAATAAGTATGAACTTCCACAAATGGAACTTGATCTCGCTGCTTACATTGAGGCTGACCATGAGCGAGAGAAGAATCAGAACTCAGAGATATTCCTACCTATCGACAGGTATATTGCGCCAAAGTTCTTTTATTGTCTTTCTTTCTT